GGTTTCCTGTCCAGACCCAGCTGGCACGCTCTGGCTCAAAGCTTCGGTTAAATAGTGGCAAACTGACAGATTTGATAAGGAGTCTTGAATTACGCCATTCTCATTTCAGCTAATACAGCATATCCAGAGTTATGAACATGCAGAAGCCGATTTTCCTGCCTTCTCTAGGCCTATTAGGCTGTGTTCAACCACCATTTTCCCCAGTTGGCCCAGTTGACTGGTAGGCTACATCTTCCCTCCTTGCCTTCATGCACTTTTCCTTCCAGTGGAAGTGAGAGCATTTAGAGGTTATTGCTCATCCAGGTTTTGCCCCAGCATGCAGTCAGGATGCGACCGAAATGCACAGTGTGGTAAGAGAAGAGTTTCTCCAGTCCATCGATTGCTTACTCGGCTTCTTTGTGTAGTTCTGCATTAAGGTTTCAAACAGACCCATACAACAACCTCACCTGGGACTTAAGACTTAGTATTTACTGGTCCCAAATTTTACGTCAAAATTCATATCCAAGACTTAAAAAAACTGTATAGTTTAACTGGCTTCTAAATGTGTAATTTACTGAACTAAGAGTCTGCTGCTTCTTGCAGTTACTTCAGGCAGAATAGTGGCTGCCTTGTCCTCAAAAGTAGAGGAACTGAGTCATAAATCCTATAAAGATTCAGGTACAAAATGAGACTAGTTACTGTTGGTTTTCATAGAGAAAGGGATAGGGAACATTTCAGACCTCTCTTTGTTTGCTGTGCAGTGTCTCATCACAACCTGTACTTAAACAAGCGTAAACATATGACCTTCACGCTTTCCTAATGTTGCACACAGAGTCTTGAGGACACTGTTTTATCCAGAAATACTTTACTCAGTGGCTAGGCATTTAATTAAATGTGTGTATAAATGAGTGATTGTTGCTACATCAGGCAGAACAGTAAAAATACTTAAAATTCTAACCAGAATGAAGCAATAACCATTGCTTGAAGTGAATGAGTACTTTTTTATTTGTCTGATAAAGACCATATTCAAATCAAAATTTTCCACTGCTATTAAGAACCTGTATCATGTTACTAACGTCACTATGTTGAAACCAAAGTATACCAATTATGGGCAAACACCATGTAATATCCATTCAATTTATACATTTTTCTGCTTACTTTAATGCTATTGCTTTCCAATATAGTGATGCTCTGACTGAATGGTATAAGATCACTTTTCACTGCATTCTAAGATAGAAAAGACTCAGATCTAAAATGAGGATTGTTTGCCAACATTTAAGAAAATATTATTTGAACCTAAGTTGTATTTTCTTTGAAACAAGTTTGCATATCTATTTGCAGTTAGATACAGTATGTAAATGGTTCAGTAAAATTTATTCTATGCCAAACTCAATAGCGACTTCATGTTCGTCATACAACTGAATGTGGTTTTAAAATTCAGTTCTTCGCTTTGGTCTGCCTTTAACTTTGTGAGGTGTGTGTTTGTTTGTTTTAATACTGGAAAGCAATTCTGATTCTCCTCCTAGCATATCCTCTGTATGGGCACCGAGGTACCCTAACTTCGCCCCCAAATTGCTGGCACACTGCTTTTCTCTGATGTCACTGGGTGAACACAGCGTTCCTCCGCTGGCCTCCACTGTCTGGAACCTCCTGGTGTGGATACTGTGAAAGACAAGTAGACTCACTGGCAGAACATAACTGCTGCCTGGTTCCTCTGCTTGCTTAGACGCCTACCTAGAGAGCTATAAAAACATGGTGAGAGTCCTCGCTGCGTGTTAAGCCCCGTGCTTTGGCTTACCGAGCCTGCGTGTTCGGTACCGCTGCGTCACAGCCGGGCAAAGGTTTCAGCCAGCCAACTGAGAGTTGTGCCTGGCTGAAATGAATCTTTCTCCTCCTACGTGTTGCCTCTGCCAGAGCAATAGCCCCTGCAGCCCTGTTGCCGTCAGAGCACGGACAGGAGATATGAGTGGAAACAATTAGAAGCTTCTTAACCTACTCACTTAACCCTCCCTTTTCAACTGTGTAGAATCACCAACCTCAGCACTGACTGACCTCAGAGGCTTCTGAAGGTTTAAGATATGCATTAAGACATGCTGTGTCCTATGCTTAAAGCTCAACAATTGAAGCTACCCCAATTCTGATGAACATTAAACGTAATGGGTGGATGTAACCAGTACAGATGAAGTGGTTTCTGGCTTTATGATAGTTTTTCTTGACTGTCTCTAACCTGTTGGGTGACGCAAATAATTCTGTGCCATAATGCTGCAAACAAAATATTTAAAGATCATGCACAAATTCAGGAAGTCGTCCTTACCTAGAGATTGCTTAAATACCCTTAGACTTCAGCACATTGTTGAATTTAAGTGTTTGTGTAAGAACTGGCTGTTCTGAACTAAGACAGAGGCATTGTTTGGTGGGTTTTTTTTTTCCTCCTTACTCTGAGAGAACAAAACCCAAGGTTACAAAGCGTGTAACAAGATTTAGAAAGATCTCTTTATTTTAGATCAGTTACAGGAAGATAACAAACCGCCACAGTTGTTAGTGCAATGCATGCCTCAATGGTTTAACATGCTTCATTAACCCGAACAGCGAGCAGTGATTCCAAGCACGGAGTATCAGATCTTTTGCAGTTAGTGTGCTTATATAATTTTCTTTTACAGAGGGCATTAACCAAAATTCATTTCTGAAAGAAAATGTCTTTAGGTGCGATAAGCAGCGTAACTTCTCATCAAGAAATAGGAACAAGTGTCACTGCTAGACTGTGGAGTGTTTTCTTCCCTCCTTTCTGCCACTCCCAATTTTGCTTTTCATTTCTTTTTTTCTTTACATGCTAGGAGGAGATAGTGATGATTTGTTCCACAGCTCTTAGATATTGCCAGAAATCAATTGTTAATAAAACTGGAAGCATTTGTGATAATAGGAAGTATGCATGCGTGGAGCTAAGAGAAATAATCGTTTGACTTTCAGAATGACTATTTGCTTTAGAGATTAGTATTGTTTCTAAACAGTTTCAGTTTCCGGTGCAGAGAGTTATATGTACGTGTCTATTAGCAGATAACACAAGATTGCATTTAAAACCATTTTAAGTATTGCAGTCTCTTAAAATTACAGTAGCCATAAGTATATATGACAATGTTTAGTAAACAGTCAGAGGAAATATTGTAGTACAGCTGAAAATTCATTGCAAAAGCTTTAAGTGCTGTCACTGAGTCTGGTTGGTGGCGTGTTTTTTTTCTCCCCTATAGCTTGTAGCCAGTGTAACCCCATCAAAATTTTCTAGTAGGGTTTCCTTACCCCAGCAGAGCGATTCATCTTCAGCTCACCGAGGGGAAAAGAAGCCTTTAGCTTCATTTACTTTTTGTAGTTTTGCCATAGCTCCTCATCTCGCTGTTTTCCGGTTTTATCCTGCCACTCCCCGTTGCTGATGGAACCATTGGAAGTCGAGGTGTTGCCAAGTCAGGCTATCGCTGGGGCCAGCCAGCGTCTCACGGTACAGCCGAAGCTCCCTTCTCCTGGCCCTCCTTGCCAGAGTGAGAACGCCCTGGCTGCTGCTTTCCGAGCACGCCATTGCAAGCAGCTGGTTTAGTTCTGCGTAGATCCTGAGATACTTCAAGAGCAACACTTCCACACGCACACTGGATTCCATTTAAACTTAATGATTACTTAAATATTTAGAGTATTTAGCTTCATAATGCTTCTAATTTTATCTTCTCAGCTTGCTACAATTATGTCAGTGATAAATACTGTTCATGACAGTCCGTTATTGCATAGCAAAATACAAAACGTTCAGTACTGCTTTCCAAATACACATTTTTTGCTGGAGTTTTCCTAATAGTTAATATTGCTCACTTACCTATGCTCTAATAACACTTAGAAGATTTCATGTTCTTTTTCAAACTATATATGTTTATAATAACAAACGCATTCTTCGTTAGGGGTGAGTGAATGCTATGTTCCTTTTGTCTAACCCTTGCATCCCCAGCTGTCAAAATCAAATGAGATAAGCAATTACAAAGAGTCTTGTTCTACTAACTGAACAGAGACTTCTGTTCTGAAAGACCCGAAACTGTGGTTTCCCTTTCTGGCCTGAAGAAATAGATAAGGCCAATTACAAATGTCAGCTTCTTTGGGTGCACTCAGTGATAGCTGAGCATTGACCTTTTATTTGCCAAAGGCATCTATGATATTTTGGTAGGCTCGCCTGTAAGTAAGCAAATAAAACTACAATTACTTGGTGCTTGCCAAAATGTCAGCCCAGGAGTGACACCGGTAGTTCGGAGTCACACTGACACTGGATAGCTGAAAGAATTGCAGAGGGATGACAATGTTATTCTTCATCTACAACTTCTTTCCTGATTCTTCCTATAATATAGTTGTACTGAGGGGAATTTATGACTGAGAGTACAGTGTTTTTAATATTGATACGATTGTAGAATATTTCATCAAAGGTGGTCTATATATTACAAAGGTATCCTTCAATCCAGTTCTTCAGTTGTTACCTAATTAAATGTATCCAGGAGTTCAAATAAACATCTTTACTGATAGTTCTTAGTATGCTCCAGGCACTTTTTAACTCAAAGATGAAGACTGACTACCTTAATATCTGTATTTTAATCTTAATAGTGCTTTGTGCAAAAGACAAGCCATTACATAATTACACTCTTCAGTGCAACAAGGGTCATCAAGGTTTGTCACTTGGTGAAAAATGCTGGCTTTATTGGATAGCACCTTCCCCTGCAACTCATAGTCTTTCACTGGCTTTTTCCTTGCTATGAATGCCATATTCTTTTCTTATCTTCAATTGCAAGCCTTTATCCAGCTGTGCTCCCCAAACTCTCCTTCTTAATACTCTTCCACACTTCTTTGTTCCATGAATAAACTTTGAGCAGCCTCTTTTATTATCATCATGACATGACTTCTGGTCATGTTTTCTTCTGGACCGTCTCCTTTCTCTTTATTCCATCATATAATTCACCTCTTTGAAGAGAAATTATGTTCTCATTGCAGGAAATGACGTAGACATGTACCAAAGCCAGTTTCTGGAACTTCGGCAGAGACTAATGTATGCTGAAAAGGAAAATAAAAGAAGATCACACGAACTGAGCAGTGCCCTAGATGAAATCAGACGTGCAGTTGCAAAAAGAGCAAACTTGACTACAAATTATACAGGTTTGTATGTGTAAAAATGTACTGTGATAATGGTTCAAAGTTTTATGTGCTCCTGTTTCTTTATCGCAGGTGTGGGGGGAAAAATCATTGATTTGTTTATGTTAGCATTCTGTAGAAGTTTCTGTTTTTAAAAAAGGGTGAAAAAGTAATCCGTAGCCCCTCTTGAAATAGGATCGGTTAGCAACTAAACAAGTAAGGAGAGGAAAAAAAGGGGACACAATAGACTGCAGTGGTGTCATAGTGGCAAAGCTGTACATATTGCGAATCAAATTTCTGACAGTGCTTATCTCTCTCTCTTGTTGCCAACTACAGAGCAATTTTTACCAGTTTTTACTATGCCACTGCACCCTGGTAAATACCAGGGCTGTGTCTAGCCTGGAAGCCAGGTACACCTCCTCAGATGTGCGACAGTCCTGGTCCCCCTCCTGTCCAGGTGGAGTGTCTTTTTGAGGGGACATTTTAGCCATAAGTGCCATCCTGCCAGCAGACCCCAGGCACCAAAGTGCATGATGGGTGTGCAGTCTCATCTCAGCAGGCAGACCACGTACAGGTAGGTGCTTGCCTGAACCCAGGAGGTGAGAAGCCTCATGAGGTCTTGCTGGCTAGAGACAGCCTAAGAATGTTCCTTCTAGAATTTATTTTTATCTTGCAAGTAGTTTGTTAATAATCCAAAGGAAATGTGAATGCTTGTAAGTGATGCCAATTAAAAGAAAACCTTGGAGGGGGGTTTCTCTGGCTTTTTTTTTTTTGTTGTTTTTAGAGTGACATCAACATGCAATTAAGTTTACTCTAATGATCTGGCTTCTTCTCATTGTTCGATTAAACTTCTTATCTATTTAAAAATATATTAGATCCTTGCCTTACAGACTGTTGTACATCCTCGTCTATCTGCACAGTGTAGTTGCATACCATAGATTAGACCATTTGATTCTGTTCCCTACAAGAAATGATGTAGTAGTGCAGGATCTGCCTTCCTCCCTGTGCAGATGGGAAGAGCTACTTCTTCTCTCTTGGGGAGAGAAGGAAAACTAGAAGGGGCATCTCTGTGCTAGAGGCACTCCACAATGACCCCGACTTCAGAAATAGTCTGGATGCTACTGAAAACTACTTTTTAAAAATCCTTCTTTGCATTCAGTACAGTGGGCTGGTATCAGACTAAAACAGGGAATTAACCAGGACCATTAGAGGGGAAGAAGAAACAAGGTGCTTTCCTGCTTTGTGCAGTCAGCTTCATTTCTTATCCTGTTCTTCCCTGCCTCTTTTTGTCTGTTTATTCAATATTAATCCAGTGGGACTGTTCAGATGCATATAAACCTGTGGTTGAGTGTTGGCAGGGTTGTGCCTTCCAAGCTTTAGAATAGAGACCATGTTGTCAGCTACCAGTAGCCCCACTTACTGTGGACAAGGAGTTATTGCCTAATGCACATAATAGCAGTAGAGGAGAGTGCAAGTTCCTCTTCCCTCTGCTCTTCGTTCTTCTTGGAGCCAGCCAGCTGAATATCACAAAGTATTAAAGCTGTCAATTCACAGGATTCAAAGTGGAAAATTCTTAAAGTCACTGAATAGTTTTCTTTTTATTTTTGTATGCTCTTCTGCTTCCCATTCCAGCCAAGTTTTATTGTACAATAAAAATTAACAGGTTGATTGTACGCAATAAAACTAAAGTCCTTTGCTCAATCCTTGATAGGTACTACTTCCAAATAGAAAGTCCTTGAAAAGTTATGAAGGTGGTTTAAAAAAAAAAGTTTCTATGCAGCAAAATTCCGGTAAATTTAATGGCAAAGCAAAGTGGGAGGAGTAGTGAGTCTCTTTTATACACAAATGTCTGGACATGTATATAGGTTTAGGTGTTTTGTTTTTTTAAAAAAAAAAATGTTTTCTGTAGAGTGGGGAATCTCCGTCGAGTCCTAATTTTCAGTGGAAATATCTTTTGGAAGTTGAAAAACTCCAAACATATTGCCCATTCAGTAAGCCTGTGTCTTCATTGATCTAAGCTGAGTGAAAAAAGCTGATGATGGTCATGTGTAATACTTGTTTTAAGTAACTTCGAAGGGTGGTAAATTTGCGGAGTTATCTTAGATGCATTTTTTAGGACAAATAACTTCCCATCTAAGTCAATAAGCCTTCTGGTGCTTTGCTGACTGTGAAACTGAGTTCTCAAGTTTTCTGCAGCTTGGAAGGCTGTCAACGTGATTTTGTTGGCCATAACTAATGGAGGTGGTGTTCTGATATCACAAAGTGCCCCACTGATCAGTTGCACCTGGAGGAAGCACCTGCTGAAGTATGAACTAGCCTAGATAAATTCACAGGAGCTTTATTTTTCTTTCAGGGCAGGAAGACATACACTTGTAGGTAGCTAGTAAGGTGCAGAAAAAATCAGCAACAGAGGGTGACAGACAAAATTCTAGTATGGGAGCCATATGCTGCCTGTGTCAGGAAAGCAAGATTTAAGCCTTTCGATATGATTCTATGATTCTATGATAACTGGTAAATAAAGTCTGGAGTGATCTTCAGTTTTGTTTCCTGGCAGTTTTCTTGAATTTTAGAAAGACCATTTGCTGTTCTTCGTAAATTTTAATCCATTCAAATACCTTTTTTAAAATTGCATGGTGCAAATAATCTCTGTCCCCACAGGTATCTTACATTAAGCACAACTGGTTTTGCACGCTTATAATCAAACATTGGAACTGGAATATTCAGGAATGTTTATATCAAGGAAGATAAATTAGTAAATTAATGGTATCTGGGTTTTATGTAGCTTATTTTAAAAGAAGAGGATTATTTTTACAAGGTCACACTTGAGTTATTTCAACATGAATAAATATTCTAATTATTTTCATCTTTATTTTAAACTAGTAAGGAAAACAAAACAAAACAAATCCTTACTTTTCTCTTAATTACTGCAGTCTTTTGTTTCTTGAATAGTTTCTAAAGGCCTGGATCTGGTGATCCTTTTTGCCACAGGACTTTTTATAACCCAAGAACTCCTGTTTGAGCCCTGAAAACCACCACGTTACATTTTGGGGAAAGCATTTAAGTTTGTTAAGTAATTAAGAAAGTTATTAATCAAAATCTGTGTTTCTTTTAATTGAAAAAGTTGCTTGCCAACTGTGAAAAAAAACCCTTTTTTTTTTTTTTTCCCTGCTGCTTTTAAAATAACTGCTTATTGTGTTTTAAGATGGCTCAATCGTGCAACTGTTTAGGCATGGGGAAAGGCAGGTGGAGTTCCCAGGAGGTTCAGACTTGGAGCTCTGCACCATCCCCTGGGTTGGGGGAAGTTGTACTGGGGATTCTCAGTTTGTTAACGCAGGAGGGTAATATATATGACATATAATCACTTCTGAGGAATAGTTCTGATTGAATAACCTTGAATAATACTCTGCTAGTATTCATTTGAGGAAAACAGTTGAAATAGTAGACTTCACTGCTGGCTTTTTACTTGATGTGTATATGTGGGTTTGTTGTTTCTTTAAGATGATATGCAGTGGAAAGCGTTAAACTTCACCCGAAAACTCCCTGTGCATCTTACAAACCTGTACTACTATCTACCTCACCTTCAAGAATATGAAGATGCCATTTTCCCAAATGTTATTTTTGGACAACAGAGAACTGGAGGTATGAAAAAAAGTTTGGCTTGTATTTTCTATATGTTTATGTTTTGTCTTAAGTTCTAGCAATGAAGCATACTCAAAGTTCGGAGGGGGTTTTCTCCCTAAACTCTATAATGTTGCCAAACTGATAAATTTTAATGGGGATGGCAAAATCACCTATACTACTCCCATCCCAATTTCAAGTCTTCCCCAAAGTATTCTGATAAACCTTTTCAAATATCAACAAAAAATAGCCATAACTGAAAAGCAATGTGATTTTTGTTCTTAGTCCTGGATTCATGTGGCAAAGATGCATGAGCTAACGTTTTTTTTCCCACAAAATTAGTATGAGTAAGGAAGCCAGGGAGAATTTACAATTCACACAGCTTGTTACAAAGTTAAAAGTAAATGGAAAGGTGATGTGATCATTTGAAGGACATTAATAAATATTCAGTGTAACTTTTTCATCCACATGAGAATCGTCAGACACCTGCACAAATCATAATGAATTCTAGTGAACTATAATACAACTTACTAAGTTATGTCTTCTCCTAATTGTCATGTGATAGGTAAAAAGAGCATTCAAAAGCAATAAGCAAACAAGGATTTAGACAACTATTTTGCTGAGTTTTGTATTTTGTTGAAATTTTGACTTTTCTCTAGGGTGATTTTATGTAAGGACACATTTAGAGCACTTTTGATTTAACTGAAAAAATAACTTGGCCATGGCCATGACATGGGCTAGAGGTTCTACTGGAGTAGTGCTGTGGTTCTCACTCGAGTGAGATCTATGAGCCCGTAGATCAGTGTAAATGTGCAAAAGACCACAAGTAGTCAGCAAAATTGTTTGCAAAAAACCCTCAGAAAACCAGATACATTCACAAGCAAGCAAGCGATGAAAAAAAGAAGGAAGAAAAGTAGTAAATAGTAGAAGAATGCTGCATGTTTAAGTTTCATTTATTTGTACGTGAAAATCACAATAGTAAGACCACATTTTAAGAAGTACAGGTTGACCTTCAGGATGTAAAACCAAACAAAACCCCAGTGGTTTAGCAGGTTATGTGCTGGGAAGGAACGTTGGAGCTTCGACATTTTTGAGTTGATGTTGGCACAAACGTTGAAGTCTGGAGCAAGTCACTAACTGCACCTACTCCTTTCCTTCAAAATCTGCTGCTTCCTTACCAGCCTCACGAGGTTTTGGTGAATAGGAATCTTCTGCAAGGACTAAGAATTCTATGGGTTTACTGAGCCATAATAGGTCACTGTCTTCAGTAATCTCCTCACTAATGAAAAAAGAGAGGTCCTGCTTACAATTTAATGGCGTTGTATAGCACACAAGTTTGCTGCTGGTGGAGTCTTTGCCAGAGACAATTTCAATTCTTTTCTTCTTAATGCTAATATCTAAGTTCCTTTTGCCTTATTACTGATGATATCAAAGCCGTGGATTCGTATCACTTAAACTGCTCAGAAAGAATTCTGACATTGTGATTTTTTTAAGTTCCTGAGATACACAGCGCTCACCTCCTGTGACAGCTTCCTCAGTCAAGCAGTGTTGGTTTAACTCTTACTACTCAGATCTGCAACTCCATACCAAAAGCTAGCTCTTATCTTGCAATATACACTTTTGAAACTCAATAGCAGATACTTATGTGTTTGCCTCAGGTAGTAATATCTCCAAGTTCTTAAGTGTTGACTGTCTACACAGTGTAGACCTGGTGCATATAACACAGACACAGGTGTGTCTAACCTAAACTTAGCTGGAGGTCTCTCTCCTTCCAGGTAGTAAAGCAAATGCTGTCTCAGTGCCATAGGAATAGTAACCGTCACCAAGTCTCATGGTCACATAAATCAAAATTAAAATGTGATGTCATTTTCCCTTTAGCTGACTTAAAATTACGTGGCTTGTGGGCTTCTTTTTTTGCAGTCTCACTGGTGATGGGTATTCCTACTGTGAAAAGGGAAAAACAACATTATCTGATTAACACACTGCATTCCCTGCTGTATGAACTTTCTGAAGAGCAAAAGAACGACTGTGTAATAATCATCTTAGTAGCAGAGGTAAGTTTGCGTAGAAAGGTGCAGTATGCCGATAGAAAGGCAACATGGAGATTTATGTCTTAGTGTAGTACTGTAGAGGAAGCTGCAAAATACTGTTAGCTAGGCCTTTGGGAAGGACTTCTTCGGGGCTGGAGGAGGCAGTGAGCAGTTAGTGCCTCAGTGTTCATATGTGGAAAAACCCCTGTAACTCAGATGACTGAAGGGTAAAAAGTAATATTTGCAGACGCAGTTGTTGCAGTCAGATTTTCAAATAAAACCATATGAACACATTGTTTATCTCTGAAAGTAAAGTATTCTACTTCGAGAATGAAATGGAAATCCTCCACAGAAAAGTTCCATAGGATCTGAAAAAAGTAAACTTACTCAGTCTAACAAAAGTTCAGATTATTTATCTGCTGCTTTGATATCATGTGTCTTGCAAAGTATCTTGGCACGCTGGAGCCTTGCCTTCTGCCTGTGTGTTGGCACTTCTTGTGAAAAATAAAACTGTTCAGAGACGGTTCCATGTTTGGGAGAGTAAACAGTGCTCAAAGTAAAATATTAGGAGTAAATGAATTTTTTCTCATTCCAAAATGTCTTGATCACATTGGAAAAAAGCTACAGAAGGGAATTAGCTAGCAAGTCACTTGCAGGTAAAAAGACTGTGCAATTATTCAGACTTCATATTTATTTTTCATATTTCTTTGTCCTTCCATAAACAACATTAAATTTCATACATGCATTCATTAGCAGTTAGAGTTTGCTTTTTTAGTTCGGTCATCACTTACAGCAGCTTTTGCAACTGTAATACTGTCGAACAGAACATAGTTCTCTTTATTAAGTTAGGTCGTGACTTTTTCTGTTTGGTTCACAACAATAAGGAGATTAGCCAAATTTTACTGGCTGTATTTCCTCTTCAGCATGATTTTCAGGAACTGAAAAGTTGCTACTACCCAATGAAAAGCCCTGGCAATGATGACCTTTGCCTATCTACCATTCAGATAAACTTTCTATTACAGGGTTCAGAGAGTTCTTTGAGGTTTTAAGGGTTAATGTCTGAATAGTACAGTTTCCCGCTGTGGACAGTCCTACCGTGGCACTTGTAGCAAACAGTAGCTTTGGTTGTAGTAGTAATCCACTTCAACCAGTTTAGGATTAAACTGCCATTGTAAGAATCAGCCTCTCCCCTTTCTCCCGTCCCCAAAGCCACATTCTTGCAGCTTTTGTTTTTCAGCCGTGCAATAAATTAGAGCAGGTGCTAGATCATGCTGATAGGAGAGGTGATAAGAACATTTTATTATGAGAGGGGGGCAGGTGCATTTACTGATCATGAATCCAGATCTTCCTTTTTCCCAGAAAGTTTCAGAAGATCAAGTTAAATGTTTACATCATGGGTTAAGTCAGAGTAACTTATTGACTGAAAGTAAGTTTCAAAGCCATTGGTATTTTTTTCTTATCACAGTTCTTTACTTATCACATTGCATCTTTTTTACTTACTGCACATTTAATATATAGCTAAGTAACAATTATTTGTGTATTTTTTTTAAAAAAATCTGAACTGCTAAGACAGGTATTGTATTGCTTTCGAAATCCGTAAAACTTAGAACTGCTTAATATAGTTAACAGATGTCTTTTCCACACTAAAATTGTTATTTTTATGAAACAGCAGCAATGAATAAGTACATCCTCGAAATTTCCAGACTAAGAGCCATAAGTTTGTTGTATTAGGAAGAAACTCTAAATAAAAATATTAAGTTTTACTAGCTTTAGAAAATTTTGCTTAGGTGACTTTTCTCAACAGCTTCAGGACATTTTTGTGATTTTTTTCGATGATTAACCTGAAATGGCACTTTTTACTGATAGTTACGTCACTGGGCATTTCTGGCATAAGTGAAAGCTGTAGAGCAGCATTTTATGTAGAAAATGGCTTAGCCTCCTGCAGAAGCAGTGAAAAAACAAAATGCAGAAAACATAGCTGGAGATGGTTCAGTTCTGCTTTCAGTTACGTTGAAAGTTCAGTTGGCTCCAAAACCCCGTACTGTCTTTTAGCAGAAATGCTGCTATAACCTATTGCTGTTGTTTGGAATGAAAAGAATTGGAGAATAAAAATGAAGTTTTTGAGTGTAAATATGCCCTATAAAATTTTGCTTAATACAAAACTGGGTGACTTGAAATGAACCTCCTCCTCTTTTCTTTAGGTGAATGCAGAATATGTTCACAGTGTTGCAGAAAGTGTTAAAAGCAGGTAAGTCCCGCAGAGTGTAACACTGAACAGCTAGTAAATGCATTTGGAGCTGTTATGGAAAGAATTAGAGCATTTCAGCAATAAATTACAACTCTCCCATGCTGAAATGGAACCGCTAAGAAATAAGGCAGGGGTGCACTCTTAATATGTGTATCGTAACACACTGAAATTCAGAACACAAGGATGTGTATCAGTTTATTTTCCTGTTCTTATTTCATACATACGCTTTAACTAATCAGGCAAAGTCTCAACTTAAGCCTCTGATAAATATTTACTTGAACCTCAGTCTTTTCCCCATGAAATTAATGATGCAATTCAAGGCACCTGAGGCTACATGTATTAGGTCCCCACTGACTTTAGTGCCCTGCAGTGTATTCTGATGTCTGTCACATTTCCTAGGTGGTTTTGTTCCCTCATTTGCCTCGTTTTCATGAAGGCAATGGATTTTGGACAGCAATCTGATTCTATTTATAATGTTAAGTACTCTTATATGATGGGTAACACGAGATGGATATCTTTGCCGTGCCAAATTAACACAAGAGTTATCAAATAAAGACTTGAGTCCCACTGCAGTTATGCTTGCTCTTATCATTTTTTCCCATAGACATTTATGGCATCATATGCATGTGAAAAACCTTAGAGCAGCTTGACAAAAACAACTACTCAGTTAAAATGTTTGGGAAAAAAAATACATTCATTGGTAAATTTACTTTGTCTTACAAAAGCTGCTTTCTAAGAAATGGTATAGTGTAGTTAAGAGTCCCAAAACAAGTAAGGCTAAAGGCCCTGAAGTGCAAGAGATGAAATCTGCTCTACTACTGGTGTTGCTGGGTTTCTTCGGCGCACAAGCTCATTTTTGAATTAGTTATTCTGATAGAACCTCACTTTGGCCTGTATTTGAAGTGAAACAGCCTTTCCCCTCTCTCCTTTAAAATGACAAGAGAGCTCTCAATCTTTGTCTCAATGTTTTTTTAGAATATTAGCAAAAACAACAACAAAAATTTGAACAAGATCTCCAGAGAGGTTGCCTTTTTCCTTCACTTTTGAGGCTTTGCTGCACATCCTGCTCTACTCAGGGGTTTTCCAGAGTGTATTTAGGGTGCAGGTTGTGCAAAGCCTCATCCAACCTGGCCTTGAACACCTCCAGGGATGGGGCAGCCACAACTTCTCTGGGCAACCTGTTCCAGTGTTTCACCACAGTATTGTAAAAAATTTCTTCCTTATATCTAATCTAAACCTGCCCTCTTTCAGTTTAAAGCCATTGCCCCTTGTCCTGTCACTACATGCCCTTTCCAGACGTGATTTGCCCTTAGTGAAGCCATGTTGGCTGTCACCAATCACCTCGTTTTTCCCATGTACCTTAGTATAGTTTCCAGGAGGATCTGCTCCATGATCTTGCCAGGCATACAGGTACAGGAGGATCTGCTCTATGATCTTGCCAGGCATACAGGTGAGACTGACTGGCCAGGTCTTCTTTTTTTCCCTTTTTATGGTTTTGTTATGGTTTTTGAAATTATTACTGCAGAGTAGATGCTTTGTCAGGATTACACAGCAAGGTTGAGGTTCTTTTTCATAAACATGCTCGTACTGTGATGTGCTTCATTTTTAATGTTAGCTTTTTTTCATTAATCCTAGGAAACAGAAACTCAGTTCTGAAAACTCCTTAGTTCAGTGATCCTACACCTATTAAAAACTGAAGAATTTTTTTTTTTTTTTTTTTACATATTCTGGAGGAAGGAGAAGATTTAACTCCCAGGTTTGGCTCCCAAAGTTGATTACACATTTTTTAAATGGAAGATTTAACCCTTGGAGCAGAGACTAGAGCCAGACTCCCCATAGCAAACCCCCTCTCCAGAACAGTAGGATTATAGAGTTGGAGCAAGTATAAGGAAACTAGGAGCTCTCATGCAAGGGGGAACAGTTGTGTGTAGTTCTAGATAGTGGATTTGGTTGTGAATTACTGCTGTGTTTTGGCAACCATCTCAGGATTATGAGTAGGCATCTATAGATGCAGGAGGGGCAGCATTTCTGAAGCACACTTCTCTTCAGTGTTTTCTGTGACTTTGATGAGTTACAGTCCTGCCTGTTCTCATGGTTGTCAAGGACCTCTTCTTGGTTCCTAATTTACAATCTATGGGAGTTCATTTCTTTGCTAGAGTTGTGAATTCCACTTCTGGAGGAGCAGACCTAACTCTGGAGAGGTGCTGTCCATGGTCGCCCTCAAAAGTGTTTTTGAGGAATGAGGTCTCACTAAGCTTCTCTTCACAGCTTCCCCAGAGAAATCCAGTCTGGAGTCCTAGAGGTTATTTCTCCTCCTGCTTCTTATTATCCAGATCTTTCCAATCTGAAGAAAACATTTGGAGATTCAGAGGACAGAGTAAGGTAAGATAGATTCAGAAAAACCTAAGAATTCTTGCTAAGAAGTAAGAGTATACAATGGAAAATTCTACAAAAGTCAACATTGTTTGAGCTGATACTGTTTTTGTAATACAGAGCTAATGGACCTCAAGTGTACTTTTTTTTAAAAAAACTATTACACAAGGGAACTTGAGAAAAGCTATGCTGCACATCAGCTTCAGGGTGAGAGCCAAGGCTCCTCCTTTGGGTCTTGACTCTAGGCATCCCACAGGTTTTAAACTAGATGGATAATGCCAAGAGGTGATAGGCTGGATGATCCTGTCGTAAAGGAAAAAATAGAAAAATGTTTTATGTGACAGATAAGGGAGAGGCTCTGTGAACATGCAAAGGAAAGCCCGTGTGGGTTTCCTGCTAGCCAACTAGTAACAACTACTGTGGGTTTAATTAATGGCATAACTTTTGGTGATCATGGACTTTTTATATTGCTGTTAGTAATATATCCTAAATGGTGATTTTATTCAGTCATGTGCCCCAAATTCACTGAGACAGAGATTATAACCTAACGAAACTGATTTACTGCAGGAAAGTAGTTTTCTTCTGATCAACAATAACTGATTTATCAGAAGCTACTCCAACAATGCAGCAAGAGGGCTGCAGTACTGAGAGTTTAGGTTGAAGGAAATCAGCAAGTGTATGTATGCATGTATATTGGATTTATAGATAAATCTTACATCTTTCAGAGCATAAATGTGTACATACTTAAGTTTCAGATATGATTAGATTTGGATCAGATACGCTTTTATGTTAATTAAGTACTGATAAGTTACTCTCCAGTCTTTTAGCATTGATTATCAAATATCCACTTAGTTCTCTGGTAAAATGAGAGGCTGTACTTTGTAGAAAGAAATCTTTGTTTACATTTAAACCTGGAAATCAAGTTTATCAACCTGCTTTCTGTGCTGTTGCACCAGTAAAGGCACTTAATTCTAGATCTTTAAATAATCATTGTGTGCTGATCTCTACTGTTTATAGTATAATGAGTAGAATCTTTAAGTCATTTGATGTGAATATACTTGTTAGACATTTTGTTTCAGGCTGCATTGATACAGATCAAAATTTTTTGCTTAGTTAATGTTAACTTTTATAGGAAAGTCAAATTTACAAATGCTTACACTGATGAGTTAGAATACTCAACCTTACAATTTTACTGTAGAGAAAAAACTGCAGAACATGAGAAATGCTTTTATTACAGAAATAACTCTTGTAACACCCAAAAAAAGCTTATCAAAATTTGCTGCTTATGTTTAGGTGGAGAACTAAACAGAATTTGGATTATAGCTTTTTAATGCTATATGCCCAACCTAAGGGAACATTTTATTTACAGGTATGTTCACATTATCATTAAGTAACTGCAATACATCTATTCTGATTATTAGCTTTGGCAATTTTAATTTGTTTCAAAGGCCTCAATATCTGTTGTCATTTTCTGTGGGTTTTGCCTGTGCTCTTCACAAGCATCCACATGTTTCCATGCTTATATGCATCTTGCAGCCAGGTGCTATTGGATTAAACCCATCTGTACCTCCCTGTCATTTGTGAGGTTGAATAACATGGTAACTGAAGCACGAAACCCTTATTTGATTCGGAGTTTAACGAGTTTTCACTTGGTGTGGCAAGACAGAATAGTGGTGGTAGGTCCAGGTTCTAGCCCAGATCACAATGTACCGCTTACAGATAAAGAAACAGACTAGTATAGTGATACTGGAAGAAGATTAAATGGCAAGCTGGTAGAGATCCGAAGTTCTCCAGAAGATTTAGAGTGCTAGACTTTAAGAATTCAGGTTTAGGTTTAGCCATCGTTCTAGATGGGTGCTAATTTGCACTCCATAAAGACGGTAGTCACCACCAGAGATTCCAAAATTGATCATGACTGATTTGGCATAGGCACTCAGAAGATAAGTGGACAAAGAAAAATGCTGTCTATCGAACAATTGAGGTTTACTGGAAAGTGAAGTATTTTCCTGTGACTTTTGTGTATTTTTAAGAGTGCTCCCCAAGTTCACTAAGTGCACTAGAGCATTAAGGCATGGGAAACATGGTGAAGGGAAATGTTAAGCTTGCTGCCAGACACTTAATATCTCTTTCTATTGTAAAATTCTCATGTTTGCCTGGAAATGACTTATGTATTTGTATTTTTAAAGAAGTTGGAGAATATGTGTTTCTCACCTGGGGCATTATATAAGGACTGAACTGCGTTATTCAGAGCAAAGTCTGGATTGTGATGGTCTGGTGGTACTTATGGCTGCATTCACGATTTTCTTAGATGGAAACTCTGCTTTCCTCATACCATTACCTAGTATATCCACTTCTTCATTTGTGTGTCCAGTCTGCAGCTGCTTCTGTAGCACAGATGCTGGTCTGCCCAGAAAATAATCTGTAGAGTACAGGTGAAAAGAAGGAACACATGCTGCCACAAAGTTAGTTATGATCTCTCTCCATTTGGAAGCCTTGTATTAATGGAAAGCAAATAACTTAAAAATCCCTTTCCTCAGCCTGGTACAAAGATTTACTTCAGTAATCTTAGGGAAAACTTGAACTAGCTTGGATTTTGTTTACTGTTTTGTCAGGAATAGTATCAGTTGGGTGACTGATATTAACTTCTGAATTTTAGAAGAAGATAAGCATATGTAATTACTCTTGATGTCTACACGATTTCATAAGCCAGGCAAGATCTTAGCCGAATAAACATGTAAACACTCATGCTGGGATACAGCTGAATCAGGATTTAAGCAAGTAGCTTTGTGAAGTCCATTGAAGCTAACAGGGTTACACCGTGGATGAACCTTAGCTACTGCTCAAATGTAGTCTTTGAAAGAAGACAATAAATCCCAGTAGTCATCTCATCTCTTCTACTTGACGCATCTCTTTTACTTTGCCTGTCGCTTTTTTTTTTCCCTCCTGAACCCACTACTGCTCCTTTCTGGCTGTTTCGTGAAGTTTTCTTAATCAATAAAAAACTTTGAAATAGAATCGTAGAATCATAGAATGGTTTGGGTTGGAAGGGACCTTAAAGATCATCTAGTTCCAACCCCCCTGCCATGGGCAGAGAAATCCTCCACTACACCAGGTTGCCTAAAACTTCATCCAACCTGGCCTTGAACACTTCCAGGATACTTGTTTCTACTTTCACTATACTTCCCGGGGTCCACCAGAGCCCCTTGAGACACCTGTAATAATGTCAGAGACAAGATAATGGGATCTTAACATAGCCATAAAAGCAGGCATTCGTATCCCAACGTAGTAGTGAGGAGATGCATTTGTTCTTTGTGTCCGTACGGACTTAGTTCATTCTGAAGTGATTAAACATTTCAAATCTGAAAGCGTCTTTGAGAAACTCAGATACAGCAGTTTTTGGGAAGTGTTTTCTGTTAGCACTCAGGTGAACCAAAAATAAAACATTAAATAAATCTTTTAGTATCTTCAGTTAAAATCTGTTACAAACTTCAGACTTAGTTAACTGAACTACTGCTATGCTTTTTTTACCTCATGAGCTTTTTCCTTGTGAAAGCTGGGGAGCTTTGTGTATTTATATGTAACGTATATGTATATACTGGTAATATATGTTGCCAGCAGCACTTATCTGTACACCATTATTATAATTTATCTAGTGTGTTTTTCTAGTGGTTTTAAGGCCTGAGCAATAGCTCAGTGAAGTCATTAGGAGTCTTTGTATTGTGTTTTTTTTCTCCCCCTCGCCTTCTAGACTTTAGGTCGAGCCTGTTATTTGGTAGAGTTCCTAAAAGAAAAAGCTTTCATGAAAGTGCATTTTTAGCTGAAATGTTCTTTATGCTTGTAGTAAAAAAAAAAAATCTTTATGGAATGAACTATTGCATATTTGCTTTCTGTGGAAAATGAGAGAATAAGATTTTTCAGCTTAAGTCTTCACGTATTCGTTGAACAGTGATTCAAAATATAAAAATACCCTAATATAATTTAGAAAAGATGATACTTTCCCATCTGATGCCTACACTTCCATTGTATGCTACCACTTTTTTGTTGCTTCTTCATTTTTACTTCTCTTAGACAGGTAACTCACATAAGAAAACTAAAGGTAAACCCATTTATTGTGTCATTTAGGAAATTCACATGGCCTTGCTATTGTGCACCGATCTTTTCTCGTCCCAAAGTACTGATGAGTGAAGGGAGATTAGCTGCCATCATGTGTTCTGCTGGCCTTCTCATGGCGATGGGGCAAAGGCACTAGACAGTTCATATCTTAAATTTCCTGATCCAGCTGTGTACAGCCACTGCGTAATCTCCTTTGGTAGATAAGAGCATGTGAAAAACAAGTGGCAGGCTGCAAGCTGAAGCCGGAAAAATTCAAATTAGAATTTGGGTACCACGTACTAAACATTCAAGATAATTACACACAGTATAATTTGCTGAAAAAGAACTGATACTGAAATCTCTAAGCAATGGCAGATGCTTTTCCAGAAGATGTGCTTTAGTTGAACACAAATTACAGGGCGCAGTACAGGGTTAAATAAACAACTTTTCATGTCCTGCGCTACGTGGTGTATCTCCAATATGCACTTTTAACTGTCAGCTTCAGAAAAGACTATTTTGGACTTCTCACTATGCAAAACTACTTTCAGTTCATAACCATGCTCACACCCACTTTGCATCACAGCCTCTATATTTTTCATCTTTACCACTTTTGTACGCTTTCTTCCAGTGTTTCTCGGTATGGTGGTCTCACTAGGTTCTTGAGATACTCCTCTTTCTGCCGTTCATCCTTTTTTGGCTGCCCCTCAATTTCTCTTTGAGGATTCTCTGAAACTCTCTTTGATTCCTTGCTCTTCTCCCTTTGCAGCCAGCTACTGGATGATCCTCTTAGCTTATTTGATTTTATGCAAAATTTCTTGTAAGTTGATGTTTTGGAGGTTTTTTTGTTGTTCTTTTCTGTGTAACTATCACCTCAACTCAATCCCCAGATCTCAGAATCTGTTCATAAGCATTCATCTTGATCAGTTTGTCTCCCATCTATCTATTTTTTGTTATCTTACCATCAGCAAAAGCTGACAGTGTCAAAACAGATCTCTTAATCTTGTCTTTCAAACGTCATTCTACTTCCTCCTGGGTTCACTGTTGATGATGCGTTTCTCCCCTGCCAGCCCCACACTTGTAGTCGTGGCCAAATTCAGCTCAGAGCTGTGGGCCTGCTCTCTCATGCTCTTGCTGCTGACTCTGCACTGAGTCAGTTGAAGATCCAAAACCAGCAGGAAACCATGCTTTTTTTTTTTTCCTTACAGCATTAATTTTCTACCTATTTAGCTTTCTGAATCAGACTCCAGTGCCACCAGACAAGGACTAGGGCCAATGAAGTACAGCAGTTAGGTCAAATTAACTGTATCATTACACTGCACCCCAACAACATTTTCCTGAAGGCTTAGCCTCCTCTTCCTGTGTTTTTCACACCCATACTCATTTCAAACCCTGAATTACTTGGGTCCTTAATTATTTCTGGAATTAATTTATTTCCTCTGTGTCATTATCTCTAAAGGCCTTGTTTGGACTCACTATCTTCAGCTTTAGTAACTGGAACAGCTTCTGGCTTTTCAGATCCCCCATTCTTCTCTGGAAGCCATGCAAAAATGCAGCCAAGGCCTTTCCTATTTCCTTGATGGATGTCAGTCTCCTCTTCCAAGTATGCTTTAGCTGGCTCTACTGCTGTATTCAGTGTCAGCCTTTACAACGCCTTGAAAGCTCTATGTATTCCTGTCCTTCTGCATGCTTTGCAGCATGTTCCTTCTTTTATGACTAGTATTCCCTGAAACAACTTGCTTTCTACTAGCATCTCAGTGATCAGCCACAGTTCTTCTCAGTCACTTTTTAGGGAGACGCCTCTCTTCTCAAATAATTTGCACCTGCTGCTTATCGGTGCTTATACAACTTCGGTACAAACTGTCTACTGTCTTCTTCCTTAACCTCTATCTTTTTGCTTAATGTTTTCTTTTAAGTGACATCTCTTTATGGGAAGGAGTTCTCCTTTCTCGAAAAAGTGAGAAGCACTCCTGGTGTTACAGTCACTCCTGTAAATAAATATTTAATGAATAATACTGAAACAGAGATACATGTAGAAGCTAAGAAGCAACCTGTTGTAGTTTGGCACAACGTCAGTACACACTGTACAGCAGTCAAACCCAATGCAGTTATCGCTTACATGTAGCAACATCACCACCCACTCTGCAAGCAATAAAACTGCCACTTGCCTTCTCTTTTATTCTTTGTTTGTTTTGGGTTTTTTTTTCCCCCAGCTGGAAGATGATATTATAGCCAAACCTGATTATATTCAAAGCATAAAAAACTTTGCTGCTCAACAGTTCCAGGAGTGGATGATTCTCGAGTTCTCCCAGCTTGGATTTATTGGTGAGTATTAAGACCTCAGCAGGGTCAATTGGATTTGGAGCTGTGTGGGTTGAGAAGGTCTCACTCGGAATTACATTTCAAAGCCTGGAAGGACTCATGTATCACAACTTCCTTGGTTCTTCAGGAAAGTTCCCACTGAAAGTCTTTTACTTTCTGTGCTCTTTAAAACCATCTTTTTAATGCAGTGTCCCCAGCATAGGATCTAGTAGTTGGGTTCCCATAAGAAGAAAATGGTTCCACCTCGGGGCACTATGTGCCCCTGTAGCATGCTGTCTTCTTTGCAAGAATGAAATTTAAACAATCTATAAAAAGTCTGCTTCCTTTCTTTTGTGGAGCAGAACATGCATCCCATATCATAGGGAAGGTTTTTTATTATTTTTAGAATTAAGTTTCTTTTTATATTTTTTCTTTTGTTCTAATACAATTTCCTTGTGATAACACCTGATAAGTGTTAGGTCAAACAAAGAAATCAAACAAAATCTGCTAATAAAAATAACAAGAGAACTAAAGGAACAGTGATAGTATTTTAAAAGCAACATTTTTCACACCTATGTCTTAATTTAAATATATTCTGTATAGTATTGCCGGTGGAATTGCATGTCTAGCATTTTGAGGAATTATTCAGACTTCGTTTCATCTGACACACTGATACAGGTGACTGGCAGATTTGTGTTTAGATATTTGTGTAGGATATAACTACACACTTTATTAGTCAACCGTTTGACTACATGAGAATATCTCCAAGCATGGGATGGAAATCTTTTCAAAATCCCAACAAGCTGGAGGATAAGCAAATCTCCAAAGCTGGAGTCTGTGTGAAACTTCCACTAAGTACCAGAATTACGTCCATGTGTTTAAGGCTGGAGTAAACATAAAGCTGGTGATTTTGCTACAGCAATAAAAATATCTGAATATGCAACTTCTTGTCTTGCTTTCAGGAAAGTTGTTTAAGTCAGAAGACTTGCCATTCATAGTGGAATTTTTTCTCATGTTCTATAAAGATAAGCCCATAGACTGGCTTATAGACCACCTGCTCTGGGTTAAAGTGTGCCATCCAGAAAAGAATGCAGTAAGTATGTCTATGAATTTATGAACATAAGTAATATCCAAACAGTCTCAGTGACAACATAATTTATTTTCAAAAAATGGAGTAGAAATCTCTCAAACCTGGCTTGCTTTGGAATTTGTGGGGAAAGATCTTCTGCCGATCTGCATAGAGTGGCACTGTGTTTGAGCCCATTAGGGCATATGGAGAGGCCTGACTCTCAGAAACGCAGATTTCCACACCAGAACTGTTTTGTCAGCTGAGAACATAGCACAAGCTCACATCTGCCTGCAGCTGGTCATGTAGGCAACCCCATAGCACCAAAAAAAAATTTTAAATATGTAAACCTATATGATCTGTTACTTCTTATAACCATCTGCTGACCTTCTATCACGAAAGTCAGCAAAGCATACAATTTTACAGTCACAGTTGTTCTGAATTTTGTGTACTGATGCCTTTCTTTGAGGAAGCAGAACTTGTGTTTTGCTTTAAATCTTTTACTACCTGGGAAAAAAATTGACTGCCTAAGGAAAAAAAAAAAACACAAGGAAACAAGTAGATCAAGCAAACTAAATGATGCTTTTCACTGAAGATGAAACAAACAGTTGTGTTCAATTGCAAAAGGTGCCATTTCTAGCAGTACGGGTGAGCCCAAAGATACATTAAGTGTTTCTTGATGTCCTTTTGCGTTCATTCTCTCACCAGTCTTTGGTGCTAGCCACTACTCACACTCTTCTTGTATAACAGACTGTGCCACAGAGGACTGACCAGAGTTTCTGCTCTGTCTTGGTTTTTAAAGTTCAAGAGTTTTTTTTGATTAGTGTAGCCAAGCCCCACTCCAAGTGTTCGCACGCGTTACTTTTGTGTTGATAAAGAAGGAAGAAGAGGCAGGTAGGAGTTGAGCAGAGCAGGCGGTTGAGGGGAGCGGAACAAACAAGCTTCAAGTTTTACTGTGTAGCAGAGGTGACTCCTGGAGGTGGCGGAACATCCCTGGTCTTACACCTAGTAATACCATTGAAGAGTCTCGATTCCTACTTCGTACAGATAGGAGTAAGCTTTGAAATCCTACTGCAAGGCTTAGGCCAGCTCATACGAGTTAGACTGAGCCTCAAGTACTTCTAATTTAGGTTCTTGCCTGCCTGTGATAATTAAAAAGATACTATTGTGTTATCATCACAATAGTTCTGGAGTCCCCAACATAAGAAGGACATGGACCAGTTGGAGAGGGTCCAGAGGAGGGCCACGAAGATGATCAGAGGGCTGGAGCACCTTTCCTATGAGGACAGGCTGAAAGAGTTGGGGCTGTTCAGCCTGGAGAAGAGGAGGCTCCGGGGTGACCTTATAGCGGTCTTCCAGTACCTCAAGGGGGCCTACAAGAAAGATGGGGAGAGGCTGTTCAGGAGGACCTGTTGTGATAGGACAAGGGGTAATGGTTTTAAAATAGAGGGAGGTAGATTCAGGTTGGATATTAGGAAAAAATTTTTTACCATGAGAGTTGTAGAACACTGGAACAGGTTGCCCAGAGAGGTGGTGGATGCTCCATCCCTGGAGACGTTCAAGGCCCGGTTGGATGAGGCCCTGAGCAACCTGATCTAGTTGAAGATATCCCTGTTCCTTGCAGGGGGGTTGGACTAGATGACCTTTGAAGGTCCCTTCCAGCCCTAACGATTCTATGATTCTATGATCACCCATTCCAGAGCTAACACGTGCCAACTTCCATCCGATAGATGAAACATTCTACTTTTATTTTTCAAATGACTGTTTTAGCTTGTAAGACCTGGTTCATACCTAAAACGAAGCTGAGTTCCTGCAAGGCAGGCAGGCAGCTCGCGCGAGTCTGCTCTGGCCAAGCCAAAGCAGAGCGGTATCAGCAAGTTTCTAGTGAGTTTCACTTCTGCAATTGCAATTTCAATTGCCGTGGGAAGCAAAAACCTACTGAGACGAGTCAGTCTCACGCTGCCCTTGGGTGGGAATGACCAGTGGCATGACCTACTGGGACTATTCATGAGAATTCAGAAAATGGAGGCTGGAAGAAGGGCGAAAATCCCAGCTTCCTACAAGTGCCAGAGAAGGCAAGCTGACAGAAATCCTCACGCTTTCCCCTTTCCAAGCAACTAAGAGTGTCACTAAGTGATAACACACTGTGCCTCATGGTAGGGTCGACGGGGCACCTCTTCGTGGCTTTTATGTGCCATCCTGTGGTGATGGGTATTTCGCACACATTTTCAGCCTGGACTGAGTATGAACGTACCAAAATTCAGCTACATCTGCTCACCGAGTTGGAAAAGACAGTTTGTGATGATCAGAGCCATCAGATCTCTGTGTGCTTCAGGAACTTCATGTTTACCTCCTGTGAACCATCATCCAGTTCTGGGGTCCCCGGTACAAAAAAGACATGGACCTGTTAGAGTAGGTGTGGAGGAGGGCCACAGAAATGGTCAGTGATGGAACACCTGTCCTGTAAAGAAAGTATGAGAGAGTTGGGGCTGTTCAGCCTAGAGAAAAGAAGGCTCTCAGAAGACCTTATTGCAGCCTTTCAGTACTTAAAGGGAGCTTATAAGAAAGATGGAGAAAGACTTTTTACCAGGGCCTGTCATGACAGGATAAGGGGCAGCAGTCTTAAATTGAAAGAGGGTAGGTTTAGATTGGACATAAGACATTTTTATGGTGAGGGCAGTGAGGCACTAGAACAGTGTCCAGAGAAGCTGTGGATGCCCCATCCCTGGAAGTGTTGAAAGTCAGGTTGGATGAGGCTTTGAGCAACCTGGTCTAGTAGAAGGTGTCCCTGCCCATGGCATGGGGGTTGGAGCTAGATGATCTTCAAGGTCTCTTCCAATCCAAACCATTCTATGGTTCTGTGATCATGTGCAGTGGCATGTATCCATCAAGTGTAGTGCAAAGATGTGATGAGGAGCCTTATCTCAGTTTCCGCACAAATGACCACACCAGTCCCATCCTGCTGTTTATTCTTATTCTGATTACCTCTTTTGGTAGTGCTGCCATAGCATAAAAGGAGAAATCCTAGATACTTTTATCATTACACGGGATGAACTGCAAACCCTGTCAGTAGAAAGATCACAAATTTATTTTCTTACAATGATTTTTTTTTTTTTTCCAGCAAAGCATAGTGTGCTTTTCAAAGAAACAGCTGCCAATAAATCAATTTGAATTTATTGTGTTTTTACATTGTTTTGCTGAACATCTGCTGTGGACAAACATAAAAATACTTAGTTCTTTTTATAGCCTTCCAGGTGGTTTTGAACTTTTAATTAGTACTTTTGTGGAAACCATAAATCCTCCATGAGTTTTGGTGTTGAAGCCAGCTGAGTAAAGACTCTATCACTTCTAGCTTTAGAAGGCATTGGTATAGTTTATGCAACATTTTTCTTTTATAGAACTGAAACCACTTGATCGAAGAGGTAAACACATTATCCGCTCAAATTTAAAGATGTGGGACCTGGGAGGCACAGGAAAGTTAAATGATCTTCCAAACTCATAAAATAATTCTGTGGCAGAACCAGGAGTAGAACCCAGGGAGTCTAATTTTAGCTCTTTGCTCTGTTCTATGCAATTTTGCTCGTTATGTCTCATTAATTATTGTAGCATGTTTGCTTCATTGTATCAAACTATGATGCCTTATAGACACAGAGAAAAAATTACATTTAAAGAAGTAATTTGCCGTCATTCAAAAATCAAGAAACTCAGAAATTAGTACCAATTACAGGTATTTAATTCCCTGGTATATGTCATTTCACAAAGTGTATTAAACTGGAAAATCAGGATTGAAATGCAGTATCTAAGGGCTTCATGTAATTATAAGATAAAAGATACATAACTTATAGTACAGTATAGCATAGTATAGTATAGTATAGTACATTATAAGCTTCTTGAACATAGCAGAAAGAGCCAAAATGGTGAAGATGGAAATGTAACCAGAATCTATCTCAAGGTCTCTTTTAGTCAAAATAGTTTAATTAGAATTATATGGCAAGGCCAAGGGTTGAAATTAAATTTCCCATAAACAGTTAAAAAAAAAAAATATCAGTTTCAGATTAGAGGTCTATTTTTGTCACTCTGAAGTGTGATTGATGGTATACAGTGCAGAAATCCCTGAATTAGTGGTGGTTGAGCCTTCAAATCTACATAGGCACCACAAGTGGAATTATGAGTTTAGGTCTAGAAACAGTGTATTTGGAATCAGGTGACTGTTAATCTAAGGTTTAATCATTTAAATATGGACCCATACCCTCAGCTACATAATGAAATTGCCTTATGGAACTTAGTTTGTCTCTCCTTTATTTAAATAAAACTTCGCTCCCTTTTACTTTCTTCCCAGATACACTGTGAAAAGGAAAAGGCAAAGTTGCGTATCCGTGCTAAACCATCTCTCTTTCAGCATGTGGGAATTTATTCATCATTGGCTGGGAAGATACAGAATTTGAAAGTAAGGATAAGAAATTAATGTCATATTTGTAAATGATATGCTTGTGTTCTGACTCGCTTCTCACATCAGTTTCAAGCATTGCATCTTTGGCATTAGAGTGCATTTCCATATCCAAAAACATTGGTTTACAGATTTGAGGGAGAATATCTGCACAATCATCTTTGAATCTCTAACCTGAACACTTGCACCAGTCACAGGAGTGTTTCCTGGCACGTAGGAACCCTCTTCAGAGCACAAGGTTTCATGGGCTCTGCGCTGCACAGACACCAAAGGCTATTATCGTTTGTTTTGGCCGAATAGTCCACAATCCCAATATGAGGGACTATTAAGAA